TTTGGTGGCCCTGTGGCTTCACAGACCGGACTCACAACACCGATGGTGTGAGGGGACCGGACAGTCACGGTCAGTGTTTACAGGACAGTGTTTATAGCAGAAAAAGCCTGGCCCGGAGCTCTGCACTCACCTGGCGGAGTCTGGAGAGCTAATGAGATACCTGAGGCTCAAAGCAAGACCTGGAGGACAGACAGACATTGCTGGGAGAAGAGAGGACCAGGTGTGCAGGACTCAGTGGCCAGAGCACACGGTCCTGAAAAGGCTGCATCTACAGACTAGCGGGGGTCGTGGCACCTCTACACTGCTGGCATCAAACTCATGCGCATTACTCAGGAGTGACCTGTCCCGGCCCTGACACTGCCAGCCCCTGTCCCTCAGAAGGTCCCCGGCATTGGGTCACAGTCACACCCCTGCCTGAGAGCCACAGCCTGCCGCCCACCCCAGGAGCCCGGCCAGCGCGGCTTGCTGCGGGCCCAGGCGTCATTTCAGAGGTGCGCGGCAGGGGGCGCCCTCGGAGCCAGCGCAGAGCAAGAGGCCAGTCCGATCCTGTGTCCTCCTGGACCGGCGCGTTTCTCTCAAGCTTTAATTGCTCTGAAATTGGGGTGGGGGCACTCTTTTAGTAACTGAATATTGGTTTATTCGTGATCAAAGGTGAAGAACAGTTTCACGGCAGCACTTTCTTTACTTTTAGGATGGAGCCAGTGAGGTAAGGCAGATGCGGAGGAGGCCCGCAGGCACCTGAGGACGCACAGCTCGCTGTGGCTCGCTGCTTCGTGTTTACTCCCCTACACTAAAGAATGCTCTGGGTGCATCTTCATACACGGGGACCACTCTGTGAATCAACAACCAGGAAAGGGTGCAGACCCCTCCCCCGCCAGACAGCTGGACACAGGAACCAGGTGGTGCGGGCAGGTGTCAGTCTGTCCTGGAAAGCACCCGAGGATTTCCAGGGTGTGGATCCCTAGGTAAGGGGCGGCCTCACAGCCCTGCACTCATGGATGCCCCCAGGGCAACAGCGAGGCTGCTAGGCTCCACCCGTCACTCTCTGCCTCCCTGGGGCCCTAGCTGTCTCTCTCAGCCCTGGGACTTTCTCCCAAGAACAGAGGCCTTGGTGTAGGCCACCCACGGTGTCCTCACCTCTCCACAGGGGGAGTACAAGGAGGACAGGCCTGCTACCCCTCGTGGCGCTGGACACCTGTGACTGGGACACAGTACCTGCAGTGGGCAGTGAGGGACGCTGGAGGGTGGACACCTGCCCTGTGACTGGGTCTTTGGAGCAGACTGGCAGCGTGTTCTGTGAGGCCCCACCAGGCCTGGGATGCCCGTACCCATGTGCCATGGCCTGGGGCACCTGCGGGTGTCCGGAGTGTGTCTGGGGCTCTTTCAGTAACAGGGTGATGGTTTATTTGGAGCCACAGTGGTGCTGGCTGCAGATTTCCTGCAGTACCGTGGGCCATGTGACAGGGTTCTTATGAGAGGAAGATAGCGGAGAAGAGCAGCAGCTCTGGACATCTCTCCAAGGGAAGCTGACTTGCCTGCAGTCTGTCCTCCTGCGCCCAGGGAGCAGTGCAGCCAGACAGAGTTCAGAATGAAGCCACTCCAAGGGTGCGGAACAGAGTGAAGAGGGCCCGACCCCCCCCCAAATGCCAGCCTGAGGCACCTGCTTCTAGAGTCCTTGGAGAAGGGAGAGAGGAAAGCCTCTGTCTTTCCTAGGCCACCACTGTTTCCATTTCCTGGCATAGCAGCTGAGCCTGATCCTAACAAGGGCATTTAGTCTTGGAAAAAAGTAGCAGGGCAGTGGCACACGCCTGTAATCCCAGCACTCTGGGAGGCCGTGGCAGGAAGATCACAAGTTTGAGCCCAGCCCAGGCAACTTAAGAACTGAGAACCTGCCACAAAATTGTTTCAAAAAGTAGAAAAAGGTGAGCAGGGGATGCAGCTCAGTGCAAGGGCTCAGTGTTCAGTCCCAGAATCCCCCCAAAATGAAAACGTCACCTTTGAATGTCCTGTTTAGAGGATCACTTTCTCATACTTTTCAGGATGCAGCAGGCATTAGCTGAATGGTGGGTGACAGGGACTTTGGAGGACAGGAGTGGGGCTGAGTCCCACTCTGCCACAGCCCCAAACCCTAAGGAATCACTTGATCCTTCTGAACGCTCTGTCTCGAGCAGTGACTCTGTGAAGAGAGGTCACACGCACCGTCAGGACTCCACAGTGCTGGCTCGCGTGCCTTCCTTCACCCTGGCATGAGCAGCTGCACACACTGGGTTTATGCCCACAGGACCGACCCTGTCGCCCTAGCCTTGGGGCACTTGCTGGGTCCTGTTAGGCAGGTGCCCAGGACAGGGGAGGCAGCAGGCCTCTCCACCTCCAAGACCAAACCCAGGGCCCACTCAGTTCCCATGGAGTGGAGTTCCCCCCCAAAGCCTGAGCAGGACTGACTGGCCGCACTTTCAGCCTGGGTCCTGCAGGCTAGCAGCTAGGGTCTGTGCCTGGGAGAGACAGGGAAGCCTGCTCCAGCTGGCACGACACAAACATCTTGGAGCCTAAGCACAGGTGAAGGGCCAGGGCCCCCGGCCCGAGGGAAGCTGATGGGCTGTGACAGACGCCAAGTCCATCCTCCAGCCCTGCCTCAGCATCAGGGAAGCTGTGGGGAGCGGCAGAGCTGTCGGGCGCGTGGCCAGCCCCTCGCTCGTGAGGGGAGACAGCCAGAGCAGGGATGGGGAAGCGGACCACCCCGGCGGCGGGACAGCTGGACTCCCACCCCTGGCCAGGACCCAGGCCTCTGTCACATGCAGCGGGACTTCCCAGCTGCCTTGTTCTTGTTCTCGGGCCTCTGACAGGGCAAGAACCCTATGGGACTCTGGGTCTGCCAGGAAAGTGACGTCACTTAGGGCTGAGGGGTTCGAGCACTGGGTTCAGGCTCTTCCACTTACAGGATGGCCTGTTCCAGATGGGCAGCCAGAGTCACAGCAGGCTGACGACCCCGCCGAGTCCACCACAGCCCTATTCAGTCAAAGGGACTCCTGTCAGCTGATCTCACTCTGGGAATTCATTTACCAGTCACCCCGGGATGCTTCCTGCCTTATAACCCAACTTACTGTGATCTGCAACTCCAGATGGCCTCAGTCCGCTCAGCTCTGAGCCTCACACATGGGGAGTCAAGGCAGAAATGGGGAAAATGCTGTACAGACCCTAACGGGAGAGGAGGAAGCCCACCTCGGGAGGAAGGACTCGGGCAGCAGCTTAGAAGTTCCTCAGCCTGGCTTCCCACCACAAATGGAGTGAGTGACAGGCGCAGCGTCTTCTCCGTCTGCTCCCAGAACCGCCACACCGGAAACAAGGGAGTAAACCCTGAAGACAGGGACCCGGACCTCGGGATCTACACGCTGCCAAGCAGGTATTGGTTTCATGAGGTAAAGGCCTAGGTTCATCCTCCATGAGCACGTACAAGGGCCTGCCGGGGATTTCCCTATCTGGTTTGCGTGTGTTTGTGTGTGTGCACGTGTGTGTTAGCAGACATTCGTTACAAGGTCTTCGCACTAAACTATATCCCTAAAATTTACAAAAAAATTTTGAGACTCTAAGTTGCCCAGGCTGGACTTGAACTTGTGATCGGTACCCAGCACACCTGGAGTGTGGCTGCTTCTCACATTTAGTAAGCAGAGAGGCCGGTGAGAGGAGAAAGAGCAGCCTGTGGTCAGGGTGGAGGCCCAAGTCCGCCCAGAACGGAGCAGGGCTCTAGGGGACACAGCACCGCAGCGCCCAGGAAGATCTGAGTGGACACAGAGGGTGCTGGAGCTTGGTGGCCCCGGCCCCTCGGGGAAGCCACCCTTAGGGCCCAGGGCAGCGGTGGCCACGCATGCCTCCTATTACCAGTGCACCAGCGAGCTGCTGGCTGCCAGAGCTGCACACAGGGCCCTGGGACACCCACCAGGGCTCACTGTCCTTGCCACGGTCACTGCCACCCCGGCCCACACTGCTGTCTGGAAGTGACCACTGCAGCTGGCCTGGCCCTCTGGGGACCCCCACGGCCTTGCGTGACACAGCTCCTCGGGTGGTGTGGCCTTGTCACCCAATCCTATCTTTATTCACTTTCCAGCTGTTTCCTTCTGCTGAGCCTGCCTGGCCCGAAGACGGGATAGCCGCGGGCCCTCGTGGCGGAGGCGCGGAGCTCAGACACAGATTTTCACTTCGAATGCTATCCTCGCCTCCTGTGCCTCTGCCTCCCTCCTGCTCCACACAGCGAGTGCTGGCGGGGTGCAGAGAGGTCCAAGTGCTGCTTTTTGGCCCAGCTGCAGGTCCCAGCACAGCAAAGGTGGTTCCTGCCCCCGCCAGAGGCAGCTGGGAAACCCGGCTCGCTGAGGGCGAGCTTCAACCCCTCTACAGGCGCCCTGCCAACCTCTGCGGTGCCCACCAACTCCGCTCCTGTGAACCGAAATGGGTCATTGCCCCTTCTCATCCTACTCCTGGGGAGACCACCTAAGGTCACTTGGCCTCTCAGTCCTCCCAGACAGATGCGCAGAATGTGCAGTGAAAACAACACGAAGACGCACACCCTCGGGCCCACTTCTGCAGCCTCGCTCCCCGCACAGCTGGGCCTGGCAGCACAGCGCTCCCCAACACTCACGCCACTGTCTGGGAACACAGGAAGTACAAGTGTCTCCCCAAGTTCAGTTGTTAGAGAATTCGGCTGCACTGGTCACTTTGCAAGAAACACCAACCTGTCGCTTAATGGCGCATTATTTAATCGTTTTAAACAAACAACAACAAAAAATGAAAGCAATCCTCAGGAGGTGGGATGGATCAGCAGGTCCGTGTCTCCGCCCAACAGTCACTCTGTCCCAGCCGGGAAGTCGCTGTCAGCAGCAGATAAGCTTCCCCAGAAGCGTGTCCGTGTCCGCTGTCAGAGCTGCCAGGGTCCCCTCCCTTCCTCCCAGGAGGCTGCTCACCTGCACCTCCACCAACAGCCAGGTGGAGCAGGAAAGGTTCTCCTGTGAGTTTCCTGCGGACCAAAAGCTAGACCGCTGATTCCTGTCAGGAAGACCCCATTTTAGGGTCTTTTGAAAGAGAAATCCAGTTAGAAACAACCCAGAAATAATCCTGAAGCGCCAATCAGACAAGCTGTATCTTTAGGGAGTTGTCTGGGGTTTGCAGAAACAAAGGGCTGAAAAGTAGTAACACATTTCATTTTCAACTGCTCAGAAATTTTCTTCAAACAAAGGCAACTAGAGCCAAATTACCATCATTCCTTTTTGCAAATCCAGGCCTACACTGCATTTGTACTTCCTCAGACAACTTCTAGTTTAAATGGCCAAAATTAGAAGTTTAATTTTACAAGCTCCCAATTATTAAATGCCAATAGGAAATCATGTGTACAAGAAAACCAATGACAAACACAGAATATGAACACTTTTTCCAGCCATAGTTTTATACTTATGAGAAACAGAAATAATGAAAAGCAGTATTAAATTAAAAACTTATGGGAAATCCATTTCTCATTAAAGATATTATTTACCTTAGGACATTGAAATTTACAAGTGAAACTTTCAAATTATGAACTCTTAAAGTCACCTTTTCCCTCCTACAGATTGACATACAGGCTTGGTTCCAGAAAAAGTTAAGATTAAAGTTTAAATGAGTGATTTTAACAAACTTCAGCATGGATTCAGGAAGATACGAGACAGCGATCTAGAATAAAACGAAGCAGGAGAACACTCTATTTGGGGCTGTTTGCGACATGCATAGTATCCTTCTCTTTCTCCTGAGGAATAACGTATGATTTCATATTCTATTTAAAAGGGGTCTTTAAATGTCATCCACAAAATCTAAGAGGAAGTCAGAACATTCTTTCACTTCTCCTAAGAGGGAAGTGGAAGTTTGGCCCATCCTTGGCTGCTGGATACCCGCAGCGATCCCCAAGGCACAGAAGAAGGAGCCGTCACCTCCCCCAGTCCTGGGCAGGGACTGGGCCCTGGTTCTGCTGCCCTGACAACTGTGGCTACTCCAACTTCACCAGGGCTGGGTTCTCAAGAAACGCCTAGGTGGAGGAGGAGGGGGCCGAGGCCAGGCGAGCGACTGGACAGGCCTGTCAGCACTGCCCAAAGCCCACCGATTACCACCCCCACCAACATGGGGCCCTCGGGAAGTAAAACCGCCGGTACAGCAGGGCCGCGGTGGACCCTCGGAGTCCAACCCGTCAGCTCAGGACCAAAGGACAGGGTGGCCAAGAGTTCACATTTTAGGAATTTGAAATGTCCAGGAATAAACTAAATAAAATAAAAATGGGGAGAGGAGAAAGGAGCAGGGAGAAGGAAGGAAGATGAGGGATTATTTAGAGAATGTGAGCTAGCCAGGTACCCTATGTGGAAAGCAGTGACAGGTGCATGAAAACGCACAAACTGTGCAGGTTAACTGGGTATTACACAGTCGGATACAGGGCCTCGTGATGCTTCTCCAATGCATACACGTGCATGTGCCAAGCACCTGCACACAGAGGCAGGGCTGGGTCAAGATGGCTCTAGCTTAAAAATACAAAATACAGACCTCTTTAGAGGGACGGGGCAGGGATGTGGAGGAAAGGCTCCCAGGCAGACCCTGACACACAAGCGTGGGCGGGAGGGGGGTCGTCTTTTTGGTAACTCTAGTTGAGATGGCAAGATGCTGGCTGGAGGGTTGTTTTCAAATATAACCTTATAGCTATATTGCTTTTTTAAAAAAAATCTTTGCAAAAAGTTTCTGAACTCTGTGAAAAGTCTATACTGACATTTCCTAAATGAAATAAAAGTGTCAGGGTGAGAACGGGTGGGGACATTGGGCTTTAACGTGAAAGCGAACCTTCACACAAAGCATAGACTCTTAAATAAAGTAACACTTCCTTAAAAATCTGCCGCCTAACAACTGTTTACATCATAGAAAAATAGCAACTTTGTAAAAAGAAATATAGTCACTTTGTTAAAATGGTCTCTTTTAAACCAGCAATTATTTTTCATATAAAGAATTTCTAAACATCCATACAGAAAATACAAATAGACAACGCTGAGTGCAAAGCAGACTACGGCATGCTGCAAATGACCGCAGCGGTCCCCTGCCTGACGAACGCTGCTCCTCCGTTTACGACCGACAGTCTGAGAGTCACCTTGCTCCAGACCTCCCTCAGGGCACGGCCAGCGGCAGGAGGCCCAGCGGCAGGTACTCTCACCTACTCGCACTGTCCGGGCCGTGGCCTGAGCGCAGACCCGAAACCTGGGCCTTCGTGGTCTCTTCAGAGACACTCGTTGCACCGTCTGCATTCCAGTTCTCACAGAGACAGAGTGACACCGAGCTACTGGCCAGCATGGCCACGTCCATCAGGCAGTGGGCTTTGCGTGAAACGCTTTTCTAAATATAAGCATTAGATCTTCATGCTATAAAAACAGATGCTTTCAACAGACTGAGCTCCATGTCCAGGAGCAGCTCGATACGGACGGCAAGTTTCCCACTGACGGCGGGCAGGGGGACTGGGGCATGGAAACCAGCATCTCCAGCTCCTGCCTGGGCCAGATGGGAGGACAGACTGGACCACAGAACACTCAGTTAGCAAACCAAGGCAGTCCTGGGCTTCACCAGCACCTCGTCACACTCTCTCCACTCTGCTGGGGTCGTACGAGTCTGTACGAAATAAAAAGGAACAAGTAAGTCACTGACACACTCGACTGGTATGTTTTCTGTTTGATCCTTGGGTTATAAATACATTTGTTTCAAGGGCAAAATTGACAGGTTTGTAAAATTCATTTTTAGACATTTCAACAATCATTATTTCTTCTACCAAGGAGCAAAAAACCATGGTTAAGCGGTTGTTTTCAGGGAACACGCGTGGTTCTTAGTCAGACACACATGGGAAAATGAGCTGCTTGCTGCTGTGACGGCCTCTGCCGCCGCTCCAGTGGAATACACCCGACTAGGAAAGTGCTTCTTAACCAGCAGCAACACCCAGGCTGGGGCCAAGATGCTTTCTTTTCCTTTATAAACCACAACTCCAGTGAAAGCTTGCTTTAGAGTGCATCTCTGTGCCCAACCGCCGTCCCTTACGGGGACCCGACACCGTGGCACCAGGCATCCTGTCTCCAAACGCCCCAGCTGGGGCTCACACTCACCTGCCAGCACCACTTTCTCAAGGCGCGTCTGAGTCTGGGCTGCCACGCGACCCCAATACAGCCGGTACCGGAAAATGCCCAAGGAGCCCACATGACCTGGATGCCCTAACGGGACCCACCGGAAGCAGAAGCAGGAATCCTGAGCTGCAAAGGACCTGGACCACGAAGCTTCGGAGCCAGGCAGACCGGAGCTCACACGCCAGCCTCGCTCGGGTACAGTTTCCTGCCACACTGGCTCCAAAGTTTCCTAACTTTTCAAGAGAACACGTTTAAGAAATCTGGAAGGGATGCAGCCATGAAAACACTGTGGAGGGTTCTCAAAAAAATTAAAAATAGAACTCCCATATGATGCAGCAATCCTACTGCTGGGTATGCTTCCAACGGAAAGGGAGTCAGCGCGGCCAAGAGCTGTCTGGGCCCCAGGTTCACTGCAGCACTGATCAAAATAGCCAAGATACGGAAAGAGCCTACACGTCCCGTTCACAGATTGGAAAATCATTCTACTTATGCACATTCAGTGGAGTGTTATTCAGCCTTAAAAAAGCAAAGCAATCCCATCATGTTAAGGTAACATGGATGAACTCGGGAAAATAAGCCTGACACAGAAAGGTAAAAACTGCATGATCTCAGTTATAGGTGGACTTTTCTAAAAGGTTAAATTCAGAGTAAAAGTGAAAGCGATGGCGGATGGCAGGAACTTGGGTGGGGAAAGGAGATACCCATTAAAGAGCATAAATCTTAAGCCATATAGTGAAGAGGAGCTGGAGACCTAAAGTACAGCACCATGCCTGTAATTAACAATTCTGTAGTGAGATTTTCCGGGTATCAATCTCAAGTGTTTTTTACACACACTGACAAATGCGGCGGCCAGTCTGCTTTGGACACGTGTTTCACAAGGCACATGTGTCTTAAGACATCACTCTGTGTATCTTGAACATACAAACTATTTGTCAATCATACCCCAGTAAAGCTAAGGAAAAAAGAAAACAAAGCAAGGCTCAGAGCAACGAAGAAGGCAACTCATTGAAAGAATGAGTACAGCTGGACAGAAAGACAATTACAAAACATTGCTTTCTAAGATCTGGCTGGAAACCATGCACCACAAAGGCCAGGATGCCTCTGCCCTCTGGGAGACATCCCTGTCCCGCTGGCTCGCGCGGTCTGCCCTGACACTGGGATCTGACTGGCCAAGGACTCAGCAGCCACAGACATCAGACAGCAGACAGGGCAGGCTCGGGTGATGTGCTCTGCAGCATGGCCAGCATCCCCTGGGGCCCGAGCGACCTGGCTGGGGGCGTGGAGTCCCCAGGATTTGTGCTTCCTGTCGCTTGAGGCTGAGCAACGCCACAATGTGCACAGTGGGAAAGGTAGAGCCCGCAGTGCTCACCGTGGTGGCGGCCCTAGGGTGCATGCAGTGGCTACTGAGATTCACAGCACGATCTTGTTTCATGATCCCACAACGGAATGTGAATTGACACAGACTGAATCTGGGCGCAACTCAGAGCTGTGCACCTGGACAAACCGGAGCAGGGTGGGAGGAGTGGAGATGAGACTCTCACATCTGAAATGGGAAGAACATGAGGCGGGGACTACCAGAAAGACGGCAGCAACACGGCTTTGTGCCAACTGTGGAGCAGAGTGCAGGGTGAGCAGCCAGGTGAGCCGGTCCCTCTCAGGAGGGCGGGGCCAATGCTGAGGCCTGGTGACCGTCCCTGCAAAGGCCCGCAGAGGTGACACACACAGGGCCACCTCTCCAGGGGCGTGAACTGCTGAGCAGGCTGCTGAGATGAGAAGTTCTCTGCCTGCAGAGTCTGGGGCATCCCAGGCAGGAGAACGAGCATTAAAACTTCTGCTCACCAATAAAAGCCCGGGGCTGTAGCTCAGAGACAGAGCTTGCGCTTAGCACACACATTCCTAGCACTGCAAAAATATTTTAAAGGAATAAAAATAAACAAAACTAAAGGGTCAGGAAGAGGTGTTCTTAACAGCTGGCTCAAGATAAAATCTGCATCATCTGTGTGCTTTCAGATACCTGCTGGACCCCACTCACACACCACGGGCTAATCTACTGAGTTAGAATTTTTATGATGTAAATCACTCCTTGCAGGAGGTGGCCACGAGCAGAGACAAAAACATTTACAAACAGGTGTTCTTGTTAGTAGTAGGATCTGCCTGACTTCACAGTCCTCAGGACTCTTCTCAGAATGGGGAAAGACTGACACATGCAGAAACTCACTTCGGATGCCTATGCCCAGTTTAACTGGCACTTAAAAATCTAGTGGGGATACTTTTGCAGGGGGAAAGGGTGCCGGAGAAGAATCCCACTGAAACAGAAATCAGCCCCAAAAGCCTGATCAGTAAGACAAAAGGCTGGTTTTTTTAAAAGATGAAACAAAATCCACAATCTTTAGCTAAACTAAGAAAAAATAAATGAATATATGAAAACATATGAAATAAAATCAGAGATAAAAATGAGACATTACAACTGACACCACAGAAACACAAAGGGCCCTAAGAGACTATTTTAAATAATTATACATAACAAACTGAATGATGTAGAAGGAACGTAAATTCTTGGGCACATACAATCTGCCAGGATTGGATTGTGAAGAAACAGAAATGGTGAAAGGCCAATAACAAGTAAGGACACTCAATCAGTCACAAAAAGTCCTCCATCAAAGAAAATCCCACTTCTGAGTCCTACAATTCTTTAAGGAAGAGTTAGTACTAATCCTGCTCAAACTGTTCTAAAAACTCTAAAGAAAAAGAAATACTTCTAAGCTCATTCTGCCTCAGCAGCATCACCCTGATAATGAAACCAGACAAGCCCACAACTACAGCAGGAGGAAAACTAGAGGCCAGCATCCCTGGAGAGCACGGACACAGAGCACCACCACGCAGAGCCACAAACCCCACAGCACATCGCAGAGGCGAGGTGTCTGGATCAAGTGGGACTCAGCCCCAGGGTGCAGGGACAGCTCAGCACACACAGTCAGTCTTGTGACACATCATGTTCGCTGGATGAAGGAAAAGTCACGGGGTCATTTCAACAGACGCCGAAAAAGCACTCAATAGAACATCTTCTCATGATAAAAACCCTCCAAAAATTGGGTAAAAGGCATGCTTGGCAGCTCCATAAAGCTCACACATGGCAGATCCACAGCTAGCATCGTATGGAATGAAGCAAAGTGAAGAACTTTCCCCTAAGATCTAGAAGGAGACATGATGTCCGCTCTCTCACTTTTATTCAACAGAGCACCAGATGTCACAGCCAGCGCAAGTAGGCAAGAAAAGGAAGGAAAAGGCATCTGAACTGGAAAAGAAAAAGTTAAGCTGTGCCTGTCTGCAGATGACACAATCTATTTTACGTACAAAATCCTAAAGACTTCATAAAAAACTGTTAGATCTAACAAATGAGTTCAGGACAGTTGTAGGATATAAAATCAACACCAATAATACACTACTAGTATTTAAAGAGAAATGATGAAAACAATCTCACTCATAACAGGTACCAAAAAAACTACCTTAGGGATAAATTTATCTGAGGAGGTGAATGCTGAGAACAGTAAGACCCCAGCGAAAGAAATTAAAGACACAAATAAATGGAAAGGCATCTCGGGTAGATGGAGTAGAAGAGTAAGTATCATCAAACTGTCCATGTCGACTTATAGACTCATTTCAGTCCCTAGTCAAAATACCAACCTGTTTCTTTATAAAATAGAGAAAACAACCTTAAAATTAGTACAGAACCCCAGAAGACCACAAATAGCCAAGTCATTCTTAAACAAAAAGAACAAAGCAAGAGGCATCATACTACCTCACTACAAAACAATGATAAGCAAAACTGTACCATTAGGGCACAGAGTGGACACTTAGAAAAACGACACCGAATAGAGAGCCCAGAAATAAATCCACCCATTTACAGTCAACTGATATTTTAACAAAGACATCAAAACACACAGGAAAAAACAAGTCTCTTCAATAAATAGTGCTTGGGAAACCAGATATTCATTACTAAAATGAGTTTAGATCACTTTCTCTCTCACCTATACAAAAATCAATTCAAAATTGATTAAAGACTTAAATATAACACCCAAAATGATAAAATTAGTAAAAGAAAACATAGGGAAAGTGATGTTGGTTTGAGCAATGGCCTTTTTGGCTATGACATCAAAAGCACAGCCCACAAAGGAAAAAATAAAACAGTCAAGATTCTATAAAACTGAAAAGCTTCTACACAGTAAGCAAAAAACAAAATAAAAAAACCCAAAGGAGGGCTTAACAGTCAAGATTCTATAAAACTGAAAAGCTTCTACACAGTAAGCAAAAAACAAAATAAAAAAAACCCAAAGGAGGGCTAGGGATTTAGCTCAGCAGTTCGGTGGCCTGCCTTGCAAGCACAAGGACCCAAGTTCAATCCCCGGTACCAAAAAAAAAAAAAAACAAAAAAAAACCCTAAAGGAGTAAAGAGAAAATTTGCAGAATGGGAAGAAACATTTGCAACTCATATAATAAGGGATTACTATCCCAAAATACATGAGCAACTCAGAACTCAACAGCAAGAGAACAAGCAACCTGATTAAAAATGGGCAAAGGATCCAAATAGATATTTCTCAAAGAAGATAGAAGCCTTACAGGTATGTGAAAACATTTTCAGCGTCACTAATCACCAAGGAAATACAAATCAAAACCACAATATCATTGCCCTGCTGGTATCAAAAAGACAAAAGATACCAAGTGTTGGTGAAGATAGGGGAAAGGTAACTTACACACTGCTGGCATGAATCAGTTCAGACAGGCACCACGGAAAGAGATGAAAGTTCCTTAAGATGATGAATGTAGGACTACTGAATGATCTGGCCACCCTGCTCCAGGTGCGTCTCTAAAGGAGACACCTGTACGCCCAGGTTCGATGCCGCACTATTCACACAATCAACACACGGAACAAACTTGTCTATCAACAGACAAATGAAGGACGAAAATATGGTACAGACACAATAAAGAACTACTCAGCCATAAAGAATGAATCCCACCACTTGTGAGGGTGCAGATGAAACCAGAGGGCATTATGCTAGGTGAAATAGGCCAGTCACACACAGACAAGTAGGGAATGATCTCACTCAGAGGTGTAACACGAAGACATTGATCCCATTTGTGAAAGATCGGGGGACCGAGAGAGGGAGGGAGGTGGAAGACAGTGGGAAGGTGAAGTAAACAGAAGTAAGATGCGTTCTGTACACTGACAACTCCCCGTGATGAATGGAGTCGTTAGGTACCGGAAACATGTGCTCATAAAAATAAAAATTTAAATATAACAATGTCGATTCCTCAGAACTGAGGAGAAAGTAGTTAGCAGGGGCTGGGTGTTTGGAGAGGGCACAGGGAAATGCTGGTTAAAGGACGCAAAACTAGTTAGGTGGGAGGAATGTGCTCCCCAGGTCTGTCATACCATGCTGACTCTCGTTAATGACCATGCTTCTTGAAAAATGTAAAACGAAGTACACGCCAAGTGTTCTTGCCACAAAGATGGTACCATGGGGCTATGCACATTAATCGGCTCGGTTCAACAATTCCATTGTATATGTCAAGACATCGTATCATATAAGTAAATAAAATTTAGGTCAATTTAAACGCAATCAATCCAAACAGCTTAAGAAACAGGCAATGTCATACCTGCTCCACTCAAAGCGCAGGCTCTACTCCAGGTACTCCCTCCCTCGGCACACACCCTCCTGGGCAAGCCCGAGAGCCCAGCAGGCCCATGACAAGTGGGTCCTCAGAACAACACTGGCCAATACCCTTAAAAGCGACACTGCATTTGCGGGGAAATTTAAGTTTCCCACGCACATCTGTTTTTGTTTAATAAAAATGTCAAGCTTCTTCCAGATGAACAACTGCTCTTTCCACCTACCTCGAAATCCTTGGATTTCAAATCTGAAAGCAGGGGTGGAAACGCGTGCACCTCCTGGTAGGGGCAGCTCAGGGAGATGCAGTTTCCCTCGCTCTGCAAAGGCCCGGCCAGTTCTGGTCTATGGCATGTGATGTTGACCTTTAGGTATTTATCTCAATTCCCAGTCACTTCTACGATGTGTAACTGATTAATTCTGTCTCCAAGGACAATGCCCAGAGACTGCAAGAATTCTCCAGGCCTGTTTTTGTCAGAGCCGAAAAGGTGGGATGGAGTTCGGGGAAAGTCACTGTTACTGTCAACGGGAACCTGCCTTGTGGTTTCGTGAGCCAGAGGAGGCTCCAGAAAGGAGTCATGGTACTTGAGAACAAGGAGCCCAGAGACCCCCAGGTGCCGCCAAAGTTTAGGGACTCGAAGAAACACTCAGAAGGCACCATGGCCTGAACACGTGGTCACTGCTGAACTCATCTTGGGTGTGGTCCCCAGGACAAAGCGTGGAAAGGCAGTGTGGCCTGTAAGAGGGGACCAGACCTTCAGGAGGGATGGTGTGGACTGTGCCACTACAAGGGGGCCTGGCATTGCCCTGTCTCACACAGGGACTCATCACACCCCTGCTGGACCTGCTTTTTCCACCGTGTTATGAAGCAGCACAAAGCCCTCACTAGATGTGCCTGTCCCATTTTGAATTTCCCAGCCTTTGGAACTAGAGGCCAAAATAAATTTCCTTTCTTTCTAAATCTTCCAGCCTCGGGTATTGTGTTATTGCAACAGGAATGGACTAAAGCAGTGGGTGAATTTTGGAGTGAGGTGCTGAGAAATGGCAGACTGTTAATTCAGTCTACTAAATCTTTCAGTTTCATAAATGGTATGATAGTAAAAACAGAAAAAAAAAAAACTAAGGCAAAGAATTTCAGGAGGTGCAAATGTAACACAGCAAAATAGGACCAACAATCTATTATACCGACCTGGTATATCTTTTCTTAATAAATTAATGGAGAGCAATGAAGTCTTTTTGGGTGAATACCTTTTATCTCAGGAGAAAATAAGAATGCAAAAGCTATGGTCTCCACAAGATTTATACAAGTGCCTGCAGCAATGCCTGAATACTTTGTGTTTTGCCTTTATTGCTGTTTTAGGTAGATAATTTTTATAGTTGTTTACAAAGATATGTTTACAAAGACATCTTTAAAATATGTGACAGGAAATTACTTTTCATGGAAAGCTTCTGGGTAATTCTTTAAAAATGAAGAATCTTTTGAAGACACAATTTACAGGGTCAACTTTCTCTTCTGCAGAAATGCAGGAGGGCGGGAGCTGCTCGCCCCGGGCTGCGCTAGACCTGGGCACCAGACACCAGAACCTGCCTCCCCGACTCCTCACCTGGGCACCAGAAGTCCTGAGGCTCGGGCCTCCTGCTCGCGGCTGCCGCAGGCCCGTTCTCTTCCCCCGAGATGCTGCCCCTGGACAGGGAGGGCAGATGCCCGGCTCTCCCCGCCCGGGCTCCCCCGCTCAGGGGCTGCCAGGCCTGGCCCCTCGCGGCCTTCGTGTCCTCAGCCTCCTCTGCGGAGTCTGCGCTCCTGAAGCTGAGACTCCTCATCCGCGACACCGAGCTCACTTCCTTCATTCTCATCAGGCGGTCAGGGGCTGCCCTCCTCGGCGGCGAGGCCAGTTTCTCTTGCAGACTTTCAATCACTTTGGAAGGGCTTCGGAGTCTCTTCTCTAGGCCTGCCACACTCGGGGTCCTTTCTATGGCGTGGAACAGTGTGGACCGGAAGGATGGTTTAGGCCCCGTGTCCTCCTGCTCCGGAGCCCAAGGCTCCAGACTGGTGAGAACCCCGTCCACAGCTGCGTGCCCAGAAGCCTGGGGCGCCCTCTCCCCAACAAACAGTGGGCTCTGGGTCCAGCCACACTTCCTCCTGCCATAGAAGGCATCTGCGCTCACCGTGGGCAGGGGCCCGTCCCTGGGCGGCTCCAGGCTGCGGGCACCTG